AAAAAAAAAGGGAAGAGAGATTAGATTTGAATGGCTATTCAGAACGTTAATTTTGTTTGTTGTAGATGACAAAGAATACTATCCAATGAGAGGAGAGCAAGTACCATTTATGAAGTTATAGATGGATCATAATGAGATGCTTATTGAGGAAAACATATTTCTTTAAGAGATTTCAGATGGGGGGTAGTGGAATCAAAGGTCTAGATGCTCAGATTGATATTCCAGCTACAGTAGTGGAGAAAGTAACCAAAAGGCTTGAGCTTTTGAAGAAGGTTTACGTTTCAAGGGAGCTTGACCTGTTTTGATTTACACTGTACTTGATAGCATTCCTACTTAAGATACGTCTTTCTTCAAGTTCTAGGTTCCGTGGTTATTTGGAGAAAGCTTATGTGAAATTTCTTTTAGTCAGGACTGCCTAGGTTCCATAGGCTTACTTTGAAAATGCTTGTGCAAAATATCTAATGCGAGGAGAGTCTTTAGGGTATGAGAATCGTCTTCTCTCGTGGGATTTAGTGTGTAAAACTAAGGAGAGAAAGTTTAGGTATTAAACTGAGGAGAAAAAAATTAGGTATTGCCACCCTCGCATGAAGGAATAAGGTTTTGGGAAGATTTCTAGTATCCTTTTCTCTTTCTTAACAAAATTGTCTTTGTTTCGTTTGTATCCAATATAAATAACTCAAGAAATGAAGGAACTCTTTGACTTAATATTCTCATGCTGGTATATCATTGAAAATTCATACACCTGAGCTTGCTTTTCTGAATATGCTATGCTATGCATGGTTAAACAATTGAAGCACCTTCTGTTAATTTCAATTTTTTGCTCTTCAGGAGGTCCTGAAGGTATTGAAAACCCAGGAATCGAGAAAGGAGCCTAAGGTTTTCATTACTTCTGTAGTGCTATTTCATTCGAGTCCTCAAACCTACAGATTTTCTGATTATATCCTTTGATGCAGCCGTGATGGACTCGGAAGGATTTGAGTTTCTCAAGGAAAACTGCCCGCTGTTGCAGTCGGAGCTCCTGAAGACGGTTGCAGGGTATGAAGAGGAACACGGCGGAGGGGCGAGGAGTCAGAGTGTGTGGGCCCAGTTTTCCAATATCAATGATACGAACGATAGGAGTGTGAGGCGGCAGCAAATGTGGGAAAATGGCGAGGAGAGAAATCGAAGCTTATGGATCCAACTCTCGGATGGCAGCGGTGATGTGAGTGGGAGGAGTCCTAGACAAGAAGGCTGACAGAGGTATAACTGTGCGTGTTGTTCTTTTTGACTGGTTACATTGATGACCACCTATGAGAGCGGGAAAAAGAAATGACCATGATAAAGATTGAATAATGTAGAAAAGAAAAGACTTGATCTGTGTTGTTGTATTTCAATGTCGAAAAGAAACACTTGATCTGTGTTGTTGTATTTCTTTACATGTTGAATCGGCAATGATGCTGATTTATGATTAAAAATGTAGCATTGAGATTGTAATTGTATTCTTTTCTTAGGTGGGAAAGTTAACATGATCAACTTGTTAGTTACCCAACTTTCATTCATTGTCTGCTTTCTTTGCTGGAAATCGCTAATTGCTAATTCTAAACGTTTGAGTGTAAGACTTAAACCATATTCAATGCAATGCCAATGGTACCAAGCTATTGATAAAAGCCTAGTTAACAACAATAATGCTGATAACAAATTACAAATGATTTTAGTAACACAATTTTACGAGCATTTTGGTTGTTATTAATGTTGACTTTAGAAGATTTGAGTTCATAAAACAAAACCATTATGTTTGTGTTCCACCCTACACTTTCAAAGAGGTATATAATTTTCTGAGAAATCTCTTTTATTTACTTAATTAGTTTCAAGTATGAGGTTTAGGTCGATATTTGGTTTATGAATTTAAAATCATGATTTAAAATCATTCTCAATTTATGTATATTTTTATAAGAAAAAATATTGTAATAAGTTACGAATTATGATCTGAATCATAATACGGATTCTTATTAGACGTTTGGTTCATAGATTATAATCATGAGATTAAAATTATTTTTAA